TAGAACTCTTTGTCTTAAAACCTGTCTGAAAATTAAACTATGTTAAATTATGCTACTGTATATATACTGCTACCTTACAACAACCATTCACCAATACACTATATCCAACAACTCCTATTACATGTACAACCAATATTAATGATTACTATCTCACATTTCCCTATCAATACATATTGTTAAACAACTAAGGAATACGATCATTGTCTGAATATCAATACATTGATGTTCTACAACCCAAACTATATATATACCAATGTGCATGACAATCATTTCATATCTCACCTTCCATAACTTGCAATAAACGAAAGCAAACAGATGATAGAGTTACGCAGTTTTGTACGATTTTTGTCCGACACTTTGTAAAGAAAATTAGGAATATGAATTTGGGTCTTTTAATCTGTAATATTTTAGTTTATTTAATATGACTGCCTTATTTATAGATGAGCCAATATTTATAGATGAGCCAATATTTATATTTATAGATGAGCCAATATTTATAGATGGGCCAATATTTATAGATGAGCCAATATTTATAGATGGGCCAATTTCAATGACATTTGGTTTGTATACATATAGTAACATGTTTAAGGCCGAGTTCAGTTGTAATTGGATGCATGCATATTTACACACAATTGACGCAATTTATACATTCTGATTAGCAAATTTGTTCAGGTTCTATAACTGCCCTGACGGGTCAATTTCAATGAAATTTGTTATACATATTGACATGTCTCGGGCTAAGATCTATCGTGAATTTGATCCATAAATATTTACACACAATTGATGAGGTTACAATGCTGTAATTGGCTAATTTGTTCCATGTAATATTAAACTGCCCAAATAAAATTTCAGCTTCAACCAAATTGGTGTGCACATGCCTAATAGCTTTTGCAAATACACATAATTATCCGTACCGGTATAAATACGTACAGTAAATCTCCACAACAGAGTTTATCTAAATCATGCATGTCTGTATTCTGTAAGCAGCTGGGGTTTCGACTTTCACAAATTTGCCTGAGGCTACTTATTTTGGCCAATGGTTCATTGCATATATATTAATTGATGCATTCTTCTTTCGATACAATGGTATACATATTTAATATAAATTCTGTATTAATAACATGTATGCATATGTTGCGAATTTTAGTTGAATCAAGAAACCAAAATGGTTTGGGAGATTATCAAGATCTACGTAACAAGGTACAGATTGTCAACCAGACAATCCAGGGCGTCAAGTCTGGCGGGGATACTCAGAGGGACCGCATGAACCAGAGGCTGACCAACATAACAAATAAGGTACCAACCTTTTTGTTATTAAAGTATCAGTTGGCATATTTAAATAAATATGTATATGTAAAATTATTTCAAACTGAATATGTAATTATGAGGACTATGTTTCTACATCCTACATAATCAGGACACAATAGCCATGTACATACTGTATATGCAGTTGAGTTAGATATACTGTACATATGAATTTTTGACTGATTATGTAACATTATTTACCTTAAATTAATAATATAAATTACAAACGGTACAAGGATGGACAATTTCATATTCAAACTACTAGCTCATAGGAAGATTTTGACCAACATATCTAAACCTATATTTTCCAAAAAAATATTGAATCTTTTAGCTTCGGACATTAGTCTAGATAATGTTGTAGATATTTTTTTGATAAATTTTCAATATTTTTATTGAAATGCTATCATAGTGAAAATTGTTAAATGAAATATACCCATTGTTAGCTCCCTCACTTGCTCTGGTGATTGAGAGCTAAGTTTTCCTTTGTATAGACCCGCCTTTACTATTATTCGTAATCATAAATTTTGATATGCAATATTTCGTCATACTTACTTCAGGCATATGTTGTCTTCCTGTGCTATTTTCAGATCCACCAGTTGTCCATGACAACAGATTCTTTACAAGAAGGGCTGAAAGCAGCTCCAGAAATAAAGCAGATAGCAATGAAGGTTCCAGTGGTGATATCTGTAAGCAACTTTCTCTGGCATCTTATGGATAGTTTTACAATCATGTACATGTATTCTGTGTGGCATCTTACATTTGTAAATACAGTTTTACGATAATGTATTACGTGCTAACTAGCGAAAATAACACTCCTGTGAAAATAACTGGCTTTGTTGATAGTTCATCACCTCTATCTACACTAGATTAATGTAAATAGGTGATTTAGTACTGTAGTTATACATCTCATGTAGATAATATTTTATTGTACATTACATATTTCAAGCAAAACTAGTTTATTCTTAATTTATTTCATAATTATCTAAACTAACTGCACAGGATTGAAATATTATATCTTATTCAAACATTTGACAAATGTAGAAAATATATGATTTAATATGAACCATATTTTGATATAACATTGTAAATCTGATAACTTCTCACTGTAATATTTGGCCTTACAGACTGCAGCGAAGCTGGGAGTGAACGTGAAATCCATGCAGACCACAATAAATGATTTGTTGGAATTCAAGAAAAGCACTGAGACAGAGCTAAAAACAATAACAGAATCGGTAGGTGGATAGGTTTTGAAACAATCTGTTTGCTACAATTTGTTGATTGATCCCTTAGGTACTTTACCTGCTTTAATAATCTTGTCCTTTATTTCTGTAATTTGAAACACAAATAAATTCAATATTTTGGGTATTTCTGTCATTGTCAGACATGTTGGTTACCATTTCCAGACCAAAAAATTACAGTCACAAATATAGATAACAGATCTAACAATGTTTCTGTTTGTACAATACAGATGAGTGAGTCGGTGCCCACCTCCTCGCCTGGGGACTCTTCCAGCGTTGACCAAAACTTTCGCGAAGACACATTGGATGTAAGAATACCTGTAATCAGTGGATGAAACACAATCAGCATTACTCTTATAAAACATGTCTATTCTTATAAAGTGTTCTTTTATACATTCTCAAAATATGTCTTTGTGTATTGGTTGAATAAAATTTCCTTTAAAGACAAATTAGCTCAGGGGTTTAGTCATGCCAATGGAGACTGAATCCCCGGGTCATAAGATGTCCTTAAATGACCTTAGCTGTTGATAGGACGTTAAACCCTATACATCAATCATAACATGGAAACTGTCAAGATCTCCACCCCATATAACTGCTTGTTGAAGGTACAGAGATAAACACTTGTGCTACCAGGACTAGCATTGGGATCAGGCCCCACCATTGGGACTTAGTCCCTAGGGTTATAAAGCAAGCCTTTATAAGGACATACCATTAAAAACAACATTTCAGTTATTGAATGCACGTGTTGCCTGCACTGGCAATTATTTATGTTGTCTGCACTGGCAATTATTTATGTTGCCTGCACTGGCAATTATGTTTCCTTGGTATCTCAATATATATTCGTAGCCTGTTCCAAATGTCCAGTTTCACCAATCAAATTGTACGGGAAAGCCCTGTTCAAAATAGCGTTGATTATGCTATTATGTGACAGTATTGAAATGAGGCAGTAAGCACAGGTGATCTGACTGATCAGCTTTTCTGAATATTTTGCTATGATGACTTAAACATCCAGGTTAGCCCACAGGCCATCTGCACTTCTTGTTTCAATCTACATTGTTTACTAATTTGACAATTCTGTTCCAGAAATTCGAAACTATGAGCCAGACGTTGGCCTTTGTGAACAGTTCCTTGTGGAGTAAGATGGACCATCTCCAGCAGGACTTCTTACAAAGACAGGTAAATTGTACAACATGGTCGTGCTAGTCATCACTCTTCCCACAAACTTTTAAGTTACAATCAAGTTGTGTACTCGTGCTCAAGGTTTGTCAGCCTACGGTCATCGAAAGAGTTTTCAGCATTACAAAATACCTTTAAATAGCAATTTTGACACTCACTTGTTCATTCTTGCAACATAAATCTCCCGTAGACCAGATAAACTGTATATCTAGATGTGAACTCTTGCTAAACGGTTGTCAGTCTATAGTCATCCTAAGATTTTTACCCACTAACTGAGGAAACATCTTTGTATGTTTTATAGACTCCATTGTTGAAAAACAATTATGTTTGACTAAATGTCTTCTATTGTCCCAATGTTTTCCTCAGACAAAGTTCATGGAGAATGCTACCAGCTTCCTGAAGATGAAAATGCAGAAGACGAGTGATCCTGATTTTGTAATGAGTGGAGGCACACCTGCCCCTGGTGGCAGAGAAGGGGGAAACAATGAAGGGATGAATGAGGAGTTCATGGATCAAATGGAGGCTAAAGTTCACGACATAGTACACCAGATGGTACGTGTTGTAGGAGGTGGTAGCTCTATTCGCTTCACCCCCCACGACTGCTCGATTTTTTGGTTCACAGATTATGAGTTAAAATGAAACTTGTTCTTGACCTGATTAAGAGTTATATCATCTTTTAGTTACTTCATGAGTTGCCTGTATTACATTATCTAAGTTGTTTTGAAAAATAAATCTTGACACTAAAATATAAGGAGATATAAAAAATCTTAAGAGAAAAAAGAGAAATCTGACAATTGTTTTACCAAAATGGGGCCACGGTGGCAAAGTGGCTAAGGCATCTGACTGTCTATGATCACTAGCCCTTCACCACAGGGTCGCAGTTGTTAAACAAAAACAACAAACCAATGTTTTATTATTATATATATATTTGCTTTTTTGTATAGTTTTACCTGTTAGTTTTGCAATCAAGGATTGCATTATTTTTTTTAGGAAGTCAAATTGTGGTGTTTTTTCATTCTATGGACTAGCATTCACATATTTTATATTTAATAATAATACCCAATGATAACTGTTTTGTAGATTGTGGATATGGAGCTGATGAACAGAACTGAAGCAGATTCTAAAGCACTGGACTCGCTACTCACAAAAATGGATAATGTCACAGCCATCGTAAAGACATTGAGAGACCAGTTTGATAAGGTAATATTCCCTGAGAGACCAGTTT